TAAAAAAATTGAATTCATACAGAAAATTCGATACAAACAGCAAGGTCACAGAAAATGGCCAAGGGGTTATCAATAACATAAGAAGGTTTAATGCTGTAAGCAGCAAGAACGGGGATCTAAGCGTCTAAAGCGAAAAAGGTTGGGAATAGGAATGTGTAAACAGGGAGCCGGTGTTACCAAGGCAGAGTGAGTTTCACCACATTTTCCATTTGTTTACATAAGTCAGTTTTCAACCACCGTATGTCGGCTCCCTCCAGGTATCATAAGGTACGAATCGTTTTAGTGTCTAGAGAATGGTCCGTATCCAATAGGTGTTCAGTAATGAAAGAAAGAGGAGTACTAAAAGCCGTGGTTTGGCAGGTTTGCCATCTGACGGGATAACTCTTGCAACTTACATTGCTGCTCCTCTAGTACGCGCATGTTTGTGTGTGCGTATGCGAGGAGGTGGACGACTGAGAGTCAGGCTGCAATGGCTCCTTCTTAATGTGGCCTGTACGGCGCTCCTGCGCACGCAGGGCATAACTAGCGAGATGGCTGTGTCAAGTGAGCGCGTGTTGATTGACTATTGTGCCAGCCATCTGAACCCTCCCTCATCCCCGGTCTTATTGTCTTTGTCTTTACAGCGAACACGGAGTTGGGAGTGACGAGCGAGTGGGCAGATTGTCCGCGAGTCTGCTTTAACTCTTGTTTCATTCACGGTAGTTCGCTGCGTTGCTTTTACTTGCTGTAGCCTTCGTGCAGCTTGCTCAGCTTGCCTCAATGTCTCTTTCGGGTTGCTTCAGCGTTTGCTGCGGCTTGTTGGAGCATGTGGTGCCCATCGTCGAAATCCGCGGGAGAACTGCTGTCCCCCTTAAAGGACAAGGCTATGAAAGTGGGCTTTTTGAACTGACTGTTGCATAACATTTGTCGTAAGGTTTTGTTACGCTTGTCAATAAACTGAGCTGGTTAAGCATGCTTGATTGTAGTTTCCTTGAGGCTGGTAATTTCATCATGCAGTCTATTCATTGAGAAAATTTTGCTAGTCCTCTGGAAGAGGGTGCAAACTAAGCTACGCTTCCTTTTTATGGGAAAAAAACGTAGATAATGCAAATACTGCCCTTTCTACGTATTCCTATAGAAAACTTTGCGTGTAAGGGAACTGTCTTTCTGTCTGGACACGTGAACGTCTGGGAAAGAAAGCTGGTTCGCACGTTCTACTTCCATCGTGAATTTCATTTTCAAATGCAAGCTGTTCATTGTAAACAGTAGTTCTTCGGCTTCCTTTATGTTTTTAACAATCGCATAAATATCATCTACATATATTATAATGAATGTTGTTCTTTTCAATTTTGGAAATACTTTTTGTTCATGATTACCCGCAAAATATGTCTGCAAATATAGGACGAATTGGACTTCCCATTGCCGCTCCGTCTCTTTGTCTATACATTTGGCCATAAAATAGGAATTTAACATTTCCTGCACGTAATTTTAGTAAACCTCATAATATTTCAGGGGCAAGCGAGTGTAAGATGCATATGCACAAACGATCTCAATTGCTTCATCCAGAGGCACTTTGGTAAAAAATGACTGAAATTTAAATGATGTCATATATTTACCGGTAATATGTTGATGCCTTTTTTCGTCTGCAAAGTGAGAACTGTCACTCACTGTATATGCAGAAAATCTATTGCGGATTGGTTCTAGTTCCTTCGCTAGCCAATGCGCTAGTCTGTGAATTGGACATGGAAAATGTAGTTCGTTAGGTGATATCCTATTTATTGTTATCCATATAGTCACGGAATATAAGGACCCCTGGGTTTTTAAGAATAAAGTTTTGTTGGTATCTACGAGAACATTATCCATAAAATCTTCTGGTTTTCCAGGCGGACTATTCCTGTGCCTTGGTTTCCTCTTTGCCTTGTGATTCAAGACGAAATTTACTGGAACCATTTAGGTTATTTTCCATTTTCATAGCATAATCCCTGGGACTGAGGATGACAACACCATGTTCTTTGTCAGGTTTAGAAATGAACCTTGCTTTGTGGTATTTCAGGGCAGATAGGACAAGTAAATTCTCCATAGTTATGGGTGTGCGTTGTAAAATTGGAGCTCGGTGATACTGGTAAGCGATGTCCACAAATTTAGCTCTCAACCAACCCAAATCCTCCGTGGTTCTGGGTTTTAGGTCTGCTAGTTGAGAGTACAGGTCCTCAAGTTGAGCTTCCACTTCAGCTGGATTAATTCGTTTGGTCAGCACCCGAAAATCAAGTCCTAATGCAAGGGTTTCTGTTTGCAGCTCGTTAAGTTTAATATCGGATAGATTCAAGATAAGATCATCTGTGTTTAAGGGGAAATTTTCTTCAGTAGATTTCTTTCAAAGCGACTTCAATAATTCAAAGCGGCAGGATTCTCTAGTTTACGTTCGTATAGTGCATGCATGTTCCAAAAATATAGACCAACAGAAC